ATAATGAGAGCACTGCTTCGCTACTGGGTATTGGTTTAATTGGGCGCCAAATTACATTTCACTTTGCCATTGCGATTAAACGAGAAAATTTCATTAACTTTACGAACCCCGCCCCAGGTGGCCATAAAAGCAAACGTAAGCGGCTAAAAGTTTGAAACTCGAGATTCGAAATTGCTCCATTGTTGCTGCAGGCGAACAATAACAGAAGAATATGTATATATAAAAAGGGCGGGAGGCGGGGCAGCGTGCCACTGAAAAAGGTTAACAAAATAATAACAAACAAATGAGCAGTGCTAAGAAGACGTCGACAGCGCAGTAGCTGCGCAGTCGCCACCTGCTTCAAAAGCAGCGGCGCATGCGCTTTATATTTTTTAGCTTTTCAGTCAACGGCGAGACGTAAAAGCGGCAACAACCGAGAAAATCCGTGAAAAGCAAAAAAGCGGCTGTAAATTATATAGCAGTAGAGATAGCAAAAGCAAAATCACGCGCGTTTTTTTGTTTTTTCTCTTTCTTTTTTATTTATTGCTTTTTGGCCATTTCATGGACAATAAACTCATTTTGCATTAACCACAAAAATCAACAAACTGTGCAAAGGCGGCGCCATCAGTAGAAAGCATTCAACTGGGTTAAAATGGGATGTGGCAAAAAGCAAAGAAGATGAATGTTTATTTTCACAGTGAAGATGTGACCCACAAAACCCCAAGTAACATAAATATTTGCGATAAATGGAAGACAACGTCAACATCACCATTTGTACACCAGCACCCAGGAATCAATGCCTGGTCAATTTATCTTGATGCATTAATGATTTAAGGAATTCATTTGTCATTTGGGTAAGATTCTCTCGAGCGCAGTTTCGAAACATTAATTATTAATTGCGGTTAATCTGGAGATAAACTGGGAGATTAAATCAGCATATGTTTGAGTGGGTTTTTAATATAACATCTGCCTGGGTTAATGCTTTACCTCCTTTAATAAATTAACGTTTATGTTAATTTAAATCGATAGCCAGTCTTCTTATAAAAAAGAAAAGAAGTTACACAAAAATTTAATAATAATGTGCTTATAAAATTAACAAAAAATAGGGCATTTAAATTTAAAATGTAAGAATATTCCTAGCATATGAACAACTTTTTATTTTAATGAAACATTAATAAAATTAAATTATTTATAAATGTATCTATATTAATTTAAATCCGTCTTAAAATAAATTTGCTGCGAAATTCTCACACTGCTTAACAAATAAAACATAAATTATTTGAGTAAACTCCAAGAATCAGCCCAAACCAACATAGACATTTGTTATGTTGTTTGGAAACCATTAGTTTTGGTAAGATATACCCCTCAGCGAAATCTGCTTGAAGCGAACGATTCCACTTTAGATGATTGAGTGTCCTGCGACAAATGGGTAAACTCATTTGTCCACTCATTGACAGGGCCGGCAGCCAAGTTTTCGCTTAATTTATGTCCCCAGCCGCACTGAAAGAGGAGTTCGCGTGCAAAGGCTGAAATGCAATTTGCGGGCAACCGCAGCTACAGCAGCAGAAAATTGATTTAGCATTTATTTCCAACTCCCCTGACCTACAGTGACTTAAGCAACGATGTTGCGGCAAGCGAAAATTTTTGGAAAATGTCATCTGAAATGTCGCCGTCGGCGGCCCCATCTTCTTTCTGGCAACAATTTCGACAGGTTTTTGGGTACACTCGCAATGGATGAGCTGATTCGGATCGAGTCTTAAACAATACGCTCTGATTATTCCAGTTCTTTTATTTCATATTAATTCTATTTTGCACAATTGAAAACCTATTGTCTGGTCGTGTGAGAATGCCGATTCCAAATGATTTTATGTGTATATTTTCATTCGAGTTTATGCTCCGGTGGTTGTGTTTGGCTGATTTTCATGTAAATCGCTGTTTGGCGGTTTGCCGGTTTGCTTATTTTTCACCCAATAGATATCTGTGTTGGCGCTGTCATGCAAGTTTTGCCATAACCATTTTGGCACGAATGTGTTTATTTTACTGCAATTTCTTTTTTGTTGTGGTATAATTTAATTAGCTGCTCTTAAACATTTTAAAGACAACTACTTATTTGTTTCGAAATTGCCAGCTACAATATATTGTTTTTTTGAGCTGTGCTAAATAATTTGTAGAGTTTTAATTAGCCTTTTTTTCTCTTTATTTATTTAAAACCTCTATGGCTAGGTGTTTGTTTTAATTTTACAAAACAGCGCGTTGAAAGTCGTTTGCTAATAGCACGAAAATCGCATTTAGCTTTTTCCGCCGTTTTTTTTTTCATTTTTGCCCTTGGGCAGATGTTCTAGAAAAGTGAGAAATTTAATGCGGCGCGTGTCACAATAAAATCAAGTTTGAAACGAAACAAAAAGCAAACACGTGACTGGAAAGCCAAACTGAATTTGTAATTTTTATTTGTGCGAAAACAGAGAAACAGAGTGGCATTATGCCAGAATGTTTATAAACTCCGCTGTCAGTCATAAAATGGCATTAAAAGCAATTAGCAAGTTGCTTAGAATTCTGCGCCGAGCGAACATATTGCCCGGGGTAATTTAAATCCGGAACTCTTGAGGCCAAACAATTGGAAGGAAACGAAAGCGGAAAAACAGCACTCGACGCGTATAAATTAAAAATAAAAGCAGTGAGAAATTATCGTTTGAAACAATTATTCTAAGGAACACGCAACTTAGCAATTTGCGGTGGCATACCAAACAGTGTTGACATACGCCTAATTAAGTTTTAAGTGAAATACAAAAAAAAAACGTGCTACAAAATGGCTAAAGCCACAGTGAAAAAGAGCATTCACATTAACCTTTGACCCCTCAAAAGAATGTGTTTATGTGTGTGTGTGTGAGCCCACAAATGTAGGCAAGCCAAAAACGTAATGGAACCGGCAATAGAGCAGGGTAAATGAGGCCAGGCCGATGCTAAGCATTTGGCAGGAGAGAACCGCTTCAGCACTTTCTGGTTCTTTATTTTTATTTTATTTTATGTCATCTGCTCGGTCCATAAACTCAGGCGCCGCTGCGAAATGTTGTTGGAGCAAGAACAAACGGCAGGAGAGCCGACTGCAGTCGCCAGGATGGCGCCTCTTTATCCTCCCGACAAGGCCTGAATTCCCCCACAGTTAAACATTAGTTGGCAACATTTGCAATTGTAATGACTCGCATCTAAAATGCAACCATTCGGTAAAATGTGTTGAGCTGGCATTCCCACCTTCTCCACCCAAACTTTTCAAAGGACACACAGTCGTCGAGACAGCTGCAATTAACACAAAAACTAAGGCAGCGGGCTCATGGCAATTGCCACCACAAGCTCTGAACTTTGGGCATTGGAAACGATTTCGTTGGATGCAAATTAGGCGGAGATTAAAGAAAAAGTTCTCCAAAGCTTGACCATCAAAAATTTTGTCACAGGTTTAAAACTTTCTGAAATAGTAAAATTGTTATTGAGTTTTGCTGGCGCTCTCATAAAGATTTCAAAACTTTTTAACTATTTTTCGTGTTATAAATATCTTTGAAAGGGCGTCGTTAGGCATTTTTATTTGAGTTTCTTAAAAGTTTTGCATATAATAAAAATTGAGTTTTGATATTATTTTTAATTGGCAGAAATCAAATTGAATTGGTTTGCTCTGTCCTGAAAGTAATGTTATTTTGAGTAGCTTAAGTACAAATTAAAAATAAATTTTGGTTTAGTGAGAGGAACTTTAACTATTTTGGGAACTGCTAGAATAACTATATATTAAAGCAGTCTTTAAAAATATATTTGAAAATGCATATAAGCAGAATGAATAAACAGTAATAACTTCAAAAACTTTTCATTTTAAGAATTGCCGACAAACATGAAACTATCCTTGACAGATATTACATTTCCATTTTGACTAAAATCAAACTCATAAATAATAATATAAAAAACCATAACAAATTTATGACAACCCAGAAGAACACAGAAACTCATTATTACAAATCTATGGCTAGTCAAGTATCTGAATAACATTGATCAGCAATAACTCAAAACCAAGCAGAATTCCCCTAACCGACCAAAGTATGGCAGCAATTTTCGCAATCAATCTGCCAATCGCTGGCAGACGTTTTCCATTTACAGATGGCAAATAGCTTTTCTGCCTTTTCCGGCTGTTCACACTGCGAAAAGCCAAAGTCACAAATGGCGCACTTCTCACGCTTCATTTGACAGCTCAGGTAAAAAAGCTGCTGGCTAAGCAATTTTTCCACAATCAGTCAAGGCTGCAGCCACCCACATACGGCAAATGGCGGTAAGCAAATAGTCCTTTGGCTTAAACGCTTCGAAGAACAAACTTTTTCTGTTCTCGTTGCCTCGTAAAATTGTTTAACTTGTATAGTGGAGACAAACTGGGAGTCGTCTACGTTCAAGTTTCGCTCGAATGAATGATTGCGATGCCAGTCGGCGGGAGTAAACTAGTTTTTACGACTCCAAAATAACCATTGGGGATTAATTTAACTGGCGGACAGGCCGCAATGGCTTATAAAATCGAGGAATTGTCCTTATGTGTTCCAGAGATCACTTTGCTCGAAATGAACTGAATTTCAACGTCTAAAGCTGAGCAAAAAAATTGGTCTATAAAACGGTTTTAGGCAGAAAAACATTGGTCAACAAATATTGAACAAACCTAAACTATCTGAATCTAATAGTTGTGAGACACACTCTATCAATGCTTTACAAAGTTTTCTTTGTCTACTTTAAATAATTGTGGGTTGTTAGAAATACATTCTTATTAGTAAACTAAATATAGTAATTAATTGTCGTGTCCATTGAACCATTATAAACAAATTTATTAAAGCAAATATAAAACATAAATAGCATATAAATGTTTTAGAAAATTTAAAATGATTTTATAATTTGTAACAGTATAACCCAAAAGTTATTTATAGCCAAGAATAAAGCTTAGCAAACAATATAAATTTAATCACACATGTAACAACTTAATTTTACGCACTTATCCTTCGCAGGGGCAAGGACAGCTATAGCTACCAGCACAACTACGTGGATCGGGTGCGTTTAGAGGACACCACTGGCCTGCACCACCACAACAGTCACCAACAAGCCACCCACGATCCGAGGTGTCCGCAGTTGAGAGCCGCTGGCTGGAGGCATACGCACAAATCGGTGTCCCATCTCGACTTGGCCACCAGCTGTCATGATGCAGCTGGGACTGGCTTAGGTCGCTACTCGCAGCACCAGCTGCTCCACCACAACCGCAGCCAGGCGAACCACCAGCAGCAGCAGCAGCAGCAGGACCATCACCATCTGCACCCCCATCCCCACTCGCACTCCCACCACCCACACGCCCAGCCCCACTGGACGCAGTGTCGGGTGGGCGGGGCCGGAAGCGGAAACGGTCAGCTGAGGAACGCCCGATCCCTGGACTATACGCAGCTCGAGCGGGACGAGAACGCCTTGGACATCGCCGAGTTCTACTGGCGGTTCGATGCGGAAGCTCCGCTAGACCAAGTCGATAGCTACGCGGGTGAGTGGCGGCCTTCGGGCGGATTGGAACCACTCGGCCATGTCGTGTATTGGAATTATGGAACCTAGATCAAACTTCATAGAGATATCACAGATAATTGAATTGTCTTGTTAATTACCATGACAATAAGAATTTCATATGATATGAGCATCTCAATTTTAAGCTTATACCTACAATCTCAATCTTCTTTTAAATATTAAAAATAATTGGCTTCTAATATCACAATTCTATATGTAAACCTTAGAGCTTTGAAATTGTATAAATTTTAAAACTAAAGTGCTTTGTTTAATAAAAGCCCTACAAGTTTGAAATAAAATTCCGAAATCTAATGAAGAAATATCTCTATAAATTCCAAGTAATTTGTAACACTTTTTCAATGTTTCTGACTTTCAGTTCTTCCAATTACCGATAACTTTGAGCCCTCGGCAGCGGCTTTAAAGGTTGTAGGTTCGGGAGAAACCACCACAGCCAGCACCACCACAATCTCCGGCAAAGCGAATGGTGGTGCAACAACCACCGTAACCACTGCTGCTGCAAACGCTCTGCTCGACATTTTGGGCAGCGAGTCGTGCAGCTTAAGGAGATCGCGCAGCTTGGCCGTAATACGTGAGGAGACGTTTAGCGACCTGCAAATTGGATCGGCAAACAGCAGTCGCCGCCGATCGCAGCTAATACCCCGTGCCCGGCTCGTTAATCGCGGATTTTTCCGCGAATCGCCCCGGTAAGTGAGTCACAAACACTGCCCTACATAAAAACAAGTTGGAAAAAATAACAGATTTTCATTACTTCTTAAAATATTTTAAGAAACAACATAAATGGGAATGATCAAAATGTTTAAAAATAATGTTTATAAATGTTGCCATATTTTAGGGCTTTAAATAGACATCAGTTGAATTCTTTCAAATTCTTTTAAATGACTATTTGCTTTCTAAGTTTTTTTTAAATTATAGATTTTTTGGGTTGTTATTAGTTTTATTAACAATAATACAATAATACAGAGTAAACAAGCAGAGTTTTTTGTACAAATACATGGTCTAAACAGTATACAAAGTAAAACCCTTTATAAACTTTTTTAAATCTTAAAAATTTAGTGTTTTAGATCTTAGTTTTTTTCGGAGCTATTGTTCAGCAATTATATTATATTTTCTTTAAGAGTTAAAAAACACTCGGTAACCTGTCTAAAACTTAAAGTTTTTGAAGAGCAGTACAAAACTAGCAACATACAAATTCTTTAAGCAGAACCGCGAGATTTGTTTTGCTCTCGAGTGTTTAAAGTCCGGCCATCACGCATACGCCGCGTAAACACCGGGCAATTCGAGCTGGATCTGGTCGTGCCAGTCGTCAGTCGTTGAGCGACGCTCGCCGCAAACTCAACAGGTCTCGGCATAATTTTCAGTTTAAACAATCCCCGAGCCTCCGGCCAAATTGCTGCGGTCGGTTTGTTGTCGCTGTTTCATTTTCCGTTTGTGATGGTGGTGGTTTTGCTGGTTTGTGTGGGATTTTTTTTTGTTTGACTCTGACGCCCGGTCATGGTCATTATCCGAGGTCATTGTTGCATTAAGCGCTGCTACATAACCAAAGTGCCGGTGACTGCGGTTTGTCGATTTAACCTAACCCTGATTGGTGACAACTGCAAAGTCCAAACGATCAAACAGTTAATCGCGTTACATAAGAACATTTCGTTTTTATGAGCAGTAAAGGTTTATTGCGGAGTCTGGTTTTTCATTTGGTATTTTTTGCCAGTTATTTCTGCTTCACTTGTTTAATTAAAATTGCGAAAAGTTTGTTGTTTGTCAATTGTTTGGACAGCTGCATGTATAGGTTTGTGCAGGGCAACGTGACAGTGAGTTGTAAAAGCTTTTAGCTATGCGCTACTCATTCCGCCATTAGCACACACATTATCCTGCGCTTTCTGACAATGGCAGCTGCATTGCCATGGCTCTCGGAAACCCATCCTTCCTGCTCCGTCGCACTCTGTCCTCGGTTTTTATTTAATTTGCCGCAAATCGTCGCGTCAAGTGGCTGGGTAAACTGACAAACCACCCGCTCAAGTGCGTTGTGCAGCTGAAACGGATCCGGTGCAACGGGGAAAATGACAACCCATTCAGCTCAACTTTGATGCGGGTTAATAGGGCTTTTAGTGAGTGCTCTCTATTAGAGGGTTTCCAGACTGAAATAGTCAAATCTGAGCTCGCATGAAATCAATAATACTAATTAATTCGTGAATTGAATCGGAACGTTATGAGACAGTTTATTAATTTATTTAATACAGCAGTAATAAAGATATAAGGTGATTTATAGACAATAGTCGTATATTCGTAGAATTTTATCAAAAATCAAACGAATAAGAAGTACAGCATTTCTTTAGTTGTCAATACCAAACGTGTTATATTGGTTTCAAAGCGAAACAGTAGTTAACTTAAGTGATGTTTTCCTCTGTTCTTTATTGAAGCTTTATTTATCCTTATGTTACTAGTATTAACTATAGTTTCACAATCTCTTTGAACGGTTTTTGATTTACTACTGCTACATTCTGTAAAGCCCTACCTTCGTCACCCATTTGACACATTTAATTTCATGTTTGCCTCCCCAACTCTATCAATCACGTGTCGCAAGCTTTCTTATTTTGCTGCAGTTGAATGCCCATTTGAATGACAAACAAACAAGAACCCACTTTTGACTGCCTGACATTCTCAGTTTGGTTTCTGTTTGTTTATCTGATTTGTGTGGATTGATTGATTGATTGAGACATCACATGACTGAAAGCATTGCAATTGAGGGTCTTTGAACGAGGCCATAAAAGTGGGAGATGTGCAGGCAGGCAGTCATCATGCCATTAGATGTAATTTAGTTATGATAGGCCAAATGCAAAACAATGGCATAATTAACGAGCCCATCCTCCCGTTTTGATTCTCCCACCCGCAGATTGAACGGCAAACCGAATCAGGCGACCTTGGTGGATGAGCAGTCAGCGGATCAGTCGGCGGATGACGCCCAGAGCCAGAGAAGTAACTCGGGCACTTGCGATTCGCATCAGCAGCAGCAGCTACAACAGCAGCAACAGCAGCAACATCAACAGCAGCAGCAGCAGCAACATCAGCGACATAGCCGAGAATCGCGTGACTTTGATGTCTACTACGATAATCTGAAACGCTTGGACGCCTTGGCTTTGAATCTGAGTGAGCAACTGCATCCTTGGCACAACGACAAGAGCGACTTGGAGAGCTTGAACTCGGACTATTTCAAAAACTCTCTGCACCAAAATCACCTGGATCAACAGCAACCATCTTCCCTGGAATTTGACGCCATCGAACAAGTGGCGGTTAGCTTACTAAAAGAAAGACCCAGGATTTATCAGTCTAGGAGGCAGCAACAGCACAGAAGTCTTCACCACTCCAACTGCCTACAACGTCACCTGGATACAGGAGGCGAATCCTGTCCGGAGCACAGTCAAAGCAGTGTTTTCCCAGAGACCACCACCAGCAATTCGGACGATCAAACGGATAGTCCTTCGCTTTCGGAACAGGAATACGATTTATCACACATCGAGGAGATCTACCAGCAGGGCGGCAATCACGTGGAGGAGAGTTACGAGTTGATAAGTCTTACGACCACCACAAGGACACGTTTCGAGAGTAGCGAGGAGGGTGGAGAAGAGGAGGAGGGCGGAGAAGAGGTTGTGGAAGATCCGACCACGCCCACAGAACCACAAACCAGCGATAGTGATAGCACTTTAAGGCCAAATCACACCGATCCGTTGGAAAAACTGATAGCCTACGATTCGGTGTATCTCTCATCGGAAGACAGCTCAGATTGCACATTAATTGGCGAAAGCTGCGAGTCCTTTGAGCAGAGAACTTTCACCAGTTGTGGGGAAAGTGGAGAGTTGGAAACCCGCAGCTTGCTGCATATTTCCATAGAGGATACGGTTTATGAACCGCAGGCTAAGCAACACAAAAAGGGCGTTAATCAAGAGGATCAATCCACACCACTCTTAGCCACAACAGCCAAAGTTGAAGCACAGATATTCACACAGGTTTTGAAAGTGGAACACACACCCAAGCCCAAAATCCTTGCAGTGGTGGAAAAACGTAAGCTCAAACAGGAGGAAGTCAAGCAGCAAGCGCCGGAACTAAAGCGTCAGGCCACCGACTCCTTCATAGTTACTGCCAGCAAATCCAATCTCACAGAGAATCAATACCATAGCCTGCCGGATGTTAATATAGGAGTGAGTCTCAAGGCTTGCGAGAACATAGACAAGGAGCTCAGATCATCCTACAACCAACAAAGGCAGCAGCAACGCAAAGAGACCAAAAAGGAACAGCCGGTGACCCGGGCGGAGACCTACGATTCCATTAGACGTTTTGGACGTGCCCATCAAAAGGCCCGGCAAAGGGAGCACCAGGAAAGGGAACGAGAACGGGAAAGGGAAGCATCAGCCGCTCTACAGGAAAAGGATAAGGAACGGGAAAAGGAAAAACCAAAGATAAACAAGGAAGTTTTAGCACAGGAGCGGAAAATTGAAGTGAAAGAAACGTCAAAGACTCAAGTTTTAATCGAGGAGAAGCAGGAGGAAGTAGCAGAGCAAGAGGAGGAACCACTGCCACCACCACCGCCCCCTTTCTCGGAGTATTCCCTACCGGAGGACTCTCCGGCGGAAGTAGAGCGGGAGGAGGACATCTATCTATCTGTATCTATTTCACAACCGGAACAACCGAAGGAGGCGCCCGTCATTGAGGTGGCCAATTTCAGCAAGCTAATCGAGCGAAGGGCCCAGGAAATCCGCGAACGACAGGAGCAAATTAAACCATCCTTCCACATCATTGTCACCGACGCCCAGAACAACATCATCCAAAAGGAGGCCATTGAGGAGGAGAACAAGGAACCCAGACAACAGAGGATTAGCCCCAATTCCAACACGAAAACATACTCAAATTCAAACTCAACTTGTAATCCCATTCAGCGTCCCCACCTCCGTCGCTCTGTGAGTTCTTCGAGTGGCAAACCGCTGGAACATCGCATTCTCAGCACTGGTGCTCCAATTTACAAGGCCCGACCTGTCAAGGTTCTACCCTCCTCCAGCAGCGATTCGAGCTTTTCGCGGGGCAAAATGTCGCGACCCCAAATTCTGCATGTCGTCGATGGCCGTGGAGGAGTGGCGCCCGGAGGGGCTGGCGGCACGCTGCGCAGGAGGAGCAGTGCCAGGAGCATTGCCAGCACAATTAGCTCGGCAGCAGGAGGTGAGGCGGCTAATGAATATCTGCAAAAAGTGGATGCAGTTAGATGCTACTGGAACAAGCTAGCAGGAAATGAACCAGAAGCACTGAAAACAGAGCCGACGAAGTCGACAAACGAAAACCAGTCAGGCATTCACTTCCAGTTGGGTGGAGAGACCACAACCCAATCTTTGGATAAATCCCCACCAGTTGGCAATGATTTCTACAGCATGATGCCGCATCCCTCCATAGAAATTGTGGAATTGGGTGAGGGCGCTCAAAAGGCCACCATTGTGAAGGCTGCTCCGGAACAGGATGAGGACCAGGATGAGGATCAAGACCAGTTCGATCACATAAGGTACAAAGTGCTGAAGTCTCAGCAGCTGATACGCAACAATTTCCTCTCGACAAGAAACAAAAAAGAGGCCCAGTTCGACGGTTTGATTCAGTATCTGCAGGAGTACAGTTTCCAGGAGCTGCTGAGCAATAACAATGTGGTTATAGTGGAGCCTGTGAGGACTAAGATTGAACGACCTTTACAGGTGGGCATAAATGGGGGCAACACGACTACAACTGTTCCACCGCCAAAACCTCCTAGGGTAGTAAATGCCTCGGGCTCTCAGCCACGGAAAACTCGGCAGAGACAAACTGGCGGCGCCGCTGCCAAAAGACATTTCTTCTACCAACCTGTAAGGGTAAACCGAGAACTCTACGAGGATGAGTTACCAGATCCTGACACAGTGCGCAATGTTCGTCGCTTCTTCGAGCAGAATGTCCTGCCAACGCCTGGTCAGGGACTCCTGGTGCAGTCCCAGCAAAAGTTTGGTGGTTCCGCCTGTCAACTGAGTCCCAAATCGAGAAGAGCACGGGGCTACCGATACCTGACCATCGATACCAGTTACGGAGGAGCTGGCGAGGAGCAGCCCAAGGGAATGGAACTGCTGGAGGAGCACAAGGCCAAGCACTGGGACAATGCCAGTCTATCGAGTGGCATTTCCAGCGGTGATTTAAGTTCTCCCTGCGGGGAATATCATCACCAGGAATCGCCAGTAATGGCCTGCAAGGATGTCCATGTTCAGGACGTTGTCAGGCGGCACAATAGCAATGCTGCCAATGCGAAGGCACGATCTAAATTTGCCAACCGACGCACCTGGTGCATGGGCACAGGTCACGGCGGAGTGGGAGCAAATGAATCCCTTTACCGGCAAATTTATGAAAATAATTTGGGACATTCTGAGCAGCAGGAGAATGACGAACATTTGGAGGAGGAGGACGATGAACAGGATGACCAGTACGAGGACGATGTGGAGCAGGATATGTGCGAGAACTATTACGTCAGCAATGTGAGTACACAGAAAAATAAACATAGAGGCTACAAATTATTATCAATACATAATTTAATCTTATTAATACATACTTTAGAAAGTCTTATTACATTCATGATAATTATAGCTTTTTATTGTTTTTAATCTGATAATTTACAAGTCAAACACTATAATTAGTCAGAATCGTTTATTAGATTAACATACTTTTATTAAGCTTATGTAAGGATTAACAATTAAAAGGAACTTTAATTTTGAGAATTAATATTAAAATATAATTTATATGAAGTTTTAAGATTAATTAATTTAAATTCACTCATTTAATTTTGGGTGCGTAGGCCTTATTATTTTTTTTTTCCTGTATGGCCTTGAGGGTGCGGCCCTTTTGCGTGTGGCTTTATGGACCATTAGCCTTTGATGTGAGTCTGTCAACTAATCTTTTCCCTTTTTTTTCCTTTAGGACGTGCTGGCCAAGATAAGGGAGTGCGGCTCAAGTGTCACCTACTACGGAGGACGGGTCCTGGACAAGACCGCAACCAGCAACACAGCCCCGCCCACGAAAACCACTCAGCCAATGACGGGGAGTGGAACCCGCAGCCGAGTTCGCCAAATAGAGGCCTGCAATGTGTGCCTGCCCAGCGAGAGATGCGAACATCGATTGCAAACCAAACAATCGGCAGCAGAACAGCAGCATGACTCCTATCAAGGTGGGTAATGAGAATTGTCCCTGCCAAAGCCAAAACCATTCCCATAATTACGACATACACAAAGAAAAAATGTAATAAGAAACATAAATTGGTTATAAAAAAAAAATTATATAAAAGACAAGTACAAATACGTCTTGACATCAAAATACTAAAATATTGTATGTGACGTATTTTAAAAGCCGAACTATTTTGTTCCTATTAAAAAGTACATACAATAACATCATTTTCAAACATCCCTATAGAACATTTTGCAAAAAACTTATATTCATCACGTAAATATTTTCATAACTTCAACCTAGTAAATTTATGACGAACATGAAAACCATTAAGAAAAAAAAAATGATAGTATGAAACTAAAAATGATTATTGTTTTTTCCCCTGTGCAGGCATAAAATTTAAGCTGGTCAAGTCCAACAGCTGCAGCAGTCGACTCGAGTTGGCCGGAACTGGAGAAGATGAGGTCAACGCCGACAGCGAAGTTGTTCGAAAAATGGTTCATCACTTCGAGGCGAATCAGACAACGACAGGCATTGATGGCCAACTGACCATCAACAGCCAGAGTCAGATAACGTTGGCCAAGGAGCCGGAGGAGGTCCCGCGACGCCAAGTGACAGTAAATAATCACATCAATGTGCTTGGGGACATGCCCGAGGAGCTCGAGAGGGCTGAAAACTTTAATGGCCAGCCGGAGAATGGTTATGGTGCGGATATATTGCCCACATACGAAAGTCAAGCCATGAACATACGCCTCGATGTGCCTACTGAGGGCAAGAGCATCCTGCAAGCTGCTGCCAGCAAAGTTTGTCGAAATAAAAACGTGGACTTGGCCTACACGTTGGTTAAGACAACCACAAATCCTCCCAAGGGCAGGCCCATCGAAGCTCCGCGCCAGAAAATTGGAAAACAACATCGCGAAGTGGAGGAAATTGGAGAAATGACTGCCGTGACAAAGACTGTCAAGCTGACAAAGGCCCCATCACAAGTCATAGTGCCTGCAGATTGTCACAGTCAGGCTTCGATAGCTACAACAGCACCGATTCCCGAGCGTCGACTGAGCAACGCCAGCAGTAGTAACTCTGCGGTGGACAAGACCGTGGTTCGTCACTATGTGGCCAATGATAAAAGCATCTATGAGCGGCGCAAGTACGATGAGATAGAGTTCGAGGAGTTTGAGGTTTACGATCCCAGCAAGGAACCACCTCAAGTGGAGGAAAGTCCCGAGAAAATACCCACAGATGCAGAGCTCTACGACAGCTTGGATGACAAAATGTGAACGAAAACCAATGCTCAAACCAATTACAAACAGCAACGACTACTTCTTGGGGTTTTGGGTAAAAGCGTTAATCATACCATACATCTACATCGGTAGACTAATTTAGCTTTACAGGTAAAGCCAAAAGATTATACCATAAACTATCCAAAGTATATAATATATTATTATTTAAATTTAATTTGCAATACAAAATTTGTTCACCTGTACATTATAAATTTATGCTTAAATAAATATGCAATTTATTTAACGAGCTGTGACTGCCGTCGACTAATTATTCATTATGCATTTAATTTACAGAAGCCTATGGGCAGCTCTCACTGCCTTATTGCTAAAACTATCTATCACGTTTCTGTGTGCAGATAAACGGGAGACCACAACAGCCAATAATTGGTTAAACTAATCTTAAATTAACCCATAATTTATTGACATTTATGATTAAAAGCATTTATGATTAGAAAGGGGAGGGGAATTTCGTAGCTAATTCAATTTCATTTTAAACAATTAGAGTAGATATATGAAATGTTGTACCGATTAAGGCATTATACTTTGTTGGCAAATCCTAAATAAATTTATCTATCTGATAATGCAACGAATATTCGAATAATTGAATGTCTTACCGTTGCCAGTTTTCTTTTTGGTTTTCTTCCTATTTAGTGACAATTTCCTCTTTCTTTTTCGGTTCATTATTATTTTCTTGAATGGATTCTGTTTACCTTAATATAGTTATATGTTTATAACTTATAATAAAACTTAACGTCAAACTTACATAATTCTCGTTTGGAGTAGGCTATCTCCTTATCATGATCACTTAATGATAACTTTGTTTGCATTTTTTGTCGGTGCGTTATTTTTGCTACATTTTCTAAATCAGAATCTTGCTCCTTGCGCTTTTCACTTCTGGCTTGATATAACTTCCTTAACCGTTTAAGTTCTTTAATTCTTGATATTAAATTGGAAGAGTCTTCTGAATTTCGAACCCGATTCTTTTTGCTTACATCTTTTTTGGCCAGTTTTTTTGCTCTCTCTTGCTCTCTATAAGGATTAGCAACTTCGACAGGTGGTAGCGACTCTCTAGATTTAAAGTCTTTTTTTTGACACCTATCCATATATTGATTGGAGCTTGATTCCATTTCTTTTACTCTTCGATTAGCTTCAGCTTTCTCATTCACACGCTCACTGCAACTTTGGCCTGCGATTAGAATGATTGATATGCATACACTTACACCCTCCCACAATGTTGTCAAATCCAATCAGTTATTCGCATTAAAGAAAATATTTACAAAATATATATGCAAGTACCTTCCCGATTTCCCAGATTCCCCCACTCACCTCCCGTCGTCGGTGTTTTATGCTTGTCCGACTTTTTGCCGCCGCTCGTCTCGTCGTCCTCCGCCGTGGATGCAAAGCTTCTGTGCTGCTGGAGCTCATGACCTGGCCGTAAATGCTGTAGGAAAAAGAGGAGAAAATATTTGCAAATTAACATTAATGACTCCATTTCGCATTATTGATGTGGCCTAAATAGCCCATAGATCTTGCAAAGAGTACTCAGCGGCAAGATAATGCATATGAGTAAAGGTAAATTATAAGCCTGCGCCATCTTAAAGTATAACGATAACATCACTGTGCGTGTGGGAGTGGATTGTAAGGTTATGTACCTTAGGGTGAACCTTGGTCTTAAATTTGACAATTTTACAGAATAAGAAAAATTCAGTGTTGATTTAAAAAGAAAATGTATCAAAAAACATTTCGTTTTAATGATTTAGTCCAGCCCTTTACAATTGTTTGGTATTCGAAGTTAAAGCCAATTAAAAATGGAAAAAACCAAAACAATAAATGAAAGTTAATAAACTAAAAAGGAAGAAATAAAAAAAAAGGAATCGTGAAGCAGGCGACAACAAAATAAAACGTTTCACTAAAAATAAGCATTAAGGATAATTCAATTTAAGATCAACCTAGCTTACATAGTACATTCTTCTACACACTTAGTAACACCCCCATTTTTTTCTCATTTTAGACTGGCATTCTTTGCATGTTTCAGCCCAACCTAATTAAGTTAAAATGCTCCCTAGTGAAATCACGTGCTCCCCATAGCGAACGTCGAGGACAACAACGAACTGGCACTCAAAACAAAATAAAAAAAGGGAGAGAAAATGGAGGAATGGGAAATGGGATGCGTAAATACAGTTATTGTTAGGATGCCACGATTATGTGGGAGTTCGTGTGGCTTTAACCCATAACCCGGTCTACGTCTGCCACTTTTCTTTTACAACTTTTTTAGATGTGTCTCCTTCTGCCGGCAACGTTGCGTATGAGTAATCACGCACGCACACACACAAATACTCGAGGGAGGACACAAATGGGCAAAGGAAATCGAAACCGTAACCGTTTACCTTGTCATTTTACCAACAAAACAAGTCAGGACGTTTGGGAGGATTTAAAAGTTGAAAAATTAGTGAAGTGAAACTTTTTTAGCAACATAAAACCATATACGGATATAAAATTAAAAATAACGAATTTTAGTTGTGTACAAATAATTAAAAGTAATGAAACATATGGACTGAAAGCTTAAAATTGGTTTAAGATTGGGAAAAGTTAGACAAATCTTAGGCCGTTTTCTTTATTTCTTGTAAGCTGCCAATTTTTAAACGTTTCATCAGCTTAAAGCTCTTTAAATTCTCCCACACGCATTCAAAATGAAAAATTTCTTATGTGTTATAAGAATTCGGCTGTTTATTTAATGCCAAACAAGCAACTGCAGAGGTAAACTAAGTTTTAAAAAACATCTTTAAAGTAATATTTAAAAATTAACAATAAAGCCCACAATACAGCACACGTTTTAAATAAATTCCGACATTTAAATTTCCTTTACTCAAACTCACAAACAGAGACATATCTAACCACCCTCGCAGTTTAAGCTTGTGCTTGAAAATATAAAATAACATTGCATAATTTTTGGTGCAGCTGCCAAAGTGTGTGTTGGCTTGGGAGCATAAAGATATACATATGCATACGTTTAGAACCGAGTTGCGAATGGCGACCGTGCTCATATGGTATGCACGTGCTGTACGCCGATTTAAACTTTTACTGATTGGATTTCACGCTCTACTCCAATCAGACGCTTCAATAATTCATTCCCTTTCGATCGCGTTTGAAAAATATAACAGAATCAGATGTTTCCCAAGAGTAATTGAAATTTAAATGGCAAATTAATTCCCCAGACACGCCCACGCAGTTCGTAGATCAAATTTTGTTTGGTGTTTTGCCGCAGAAACTTTAGTGATTTGTTTTGCCGCGCATTATTGATGGACTTGGGGGCCCAACGACAATGTGATGGAACATTTCTGACAGTTGGTCAGAGTTTCAGTTTCTTCTACAGACCGCGCACAAATCGAGTCCGGATTGTGGGAAGCTGACGGAGCTGGAGGGCAAAAGCAAAAGTTATGACCCCCGACGAGCTGTCAGCCGGCATCAAATGTTAAAAAGTTGCCCCACAGGCAATCGCAGCGAAGCAAATGAAACATTAGGTGGCACATAAATTTAACAAGCTCCGACAGTCACAGAAATCCATGTTCCGCCCGAGTGTATGCCACTTTCTCGTGGCAAAAGTTTTTACGATTGTCCAAATAAATTGAAATCGCAGCTCAGCTTAGTTCAAGTTTTCCCTGAGATGAAATTTGAAAATGTAATTTTATAAATTACACCTGCTGTTTTCCCGGAATAAGCTATCTTGAAAGTTGTGACCGCAACTTGAGTCGAGTCATTCGAAGTTAATGTGTGCTGTGGGGCAGCTTTAAAAAGTGAAGACCCATCCGTATGCAAAGATCAACATCCTTGGCCTCTGTCTGCGACATGTTGCAGCAGTTGTCTCTTAATGAGCCCGACAATCAGTCCACGTGCGGCGTTCAGCCCAAGCTCACGGAAAAACAGACAGCACACAGGACTCGCCACGACAAACATAAAGCCAGACCAAAAAGGCTCTCAGAATAGAGGACTATAAGTGGAGAACCGGGGCCATAACAATAAACAAAGAAGAGCCGAGTGGATGTCTCCGTGTTCCTCAAATCTTTTTCGTCTGGAATTCACCAAAGCCTGAAAAAGTCTCCCCTTATTAAAGATAAAAAAAAAATACAATGGTTCATGTAATTTGCATAGGATTTCCATTTACCCCAACTTGCTCTGACCATCTCCTTAAAGTTTCAAAGTACTTTTCATATTTTAAGGCAGGCTCAACCGCTTTGTAGAAAAACTTTAAATTGAAATTAAAATTCTTGATCAATACAATTTTCCTAAGATAGCTTACAGTTTTTGTATAATATAATAAAATAAATATATAATTCTAGATTATTATTTCATTAAATATTTTTTATCTGTTATATAATAAATATTCCGTAAAGACCTTCCAATACAAATAACACTTAAATTAAATTAAATGCCTCTTTATTTCTCCCAACAATTTGACCCCCTCTCTAGAATGTTTTAAATTACTTTTTATACTAGAAGCTATGCTAAGCCCATTTAAAATGTAAATAAACTTTTGAAATTTTAATTAATTAATTTTTAAGCACTCCTACTTGTAAGGAATTCAGCATGGAAAGTTCCCGATTCAGGAAGTCATGCAAGCTGAAAAGTTGTAACACAGGAGAAACTCTAGACAGCCACTCGCCTTTCAGCCCTTTGTTCTTGGCCAACAAAGTCGCGTGTCAAGTGCTGCATTCTTAGGCATCTAGCCAATAACATGCCGCAAAGCATATTGTTCTTTAGGCGTTTGATTGTCTCTGAATGAGCTCGTTAAGTCGAGACAAATGGAATAATGAATCCCCATCAAACCAAATGCAACTGAAGTTTAACACAAAGATATTTTATAGCTCGTAAATGGAGAAATATCGCGCAAAGCTATTTGTTATTAAGAAATTGAGGCTACTGGCAATGATTCATAAAAATAATACGATTGGACAAATTGGCTACGGAATGAGATTAATGAAACGACACCGAAGGATCGCAACGAAGGCGTAGACAGGATAAAGCTTGATGAAAAAATCCCCACTAAGTCTTGGAAACATCTCAAGCCAAGTCGATAAATTTCTATAGATATGTTTAAAAAAGGCAGAGAGAGAGAGAGCTAATAAATTAGACACATGTTCACAGCGGCAATGAAATTTTTGTAGGTTTTCATTTTTCATTGGCAGAGTGAATAGATTTGCGAGAAAAGATTTTTTGCTAGTAAATATTAGCTGAGAAAAAACAGAGCAAAATAGATAAACAAGTTGAAAGGCACAAACACATACATAAAAGCAGATACAGACTATCAAAAATCATCAGATACAGAGAGAAAAACCATTAAAGAGACAAGCTAGACAGACTAAAATTAGTGTGTGCGCCACGTACATATTGATAAATATACGCACATCCTATAAATACAAAGATACACACCGCTGAATTTGAAATAGACATTTTTTCGTTTCTCAGAAAGAGTGCAAAACGCTGCCAGAAATTTGTCGCAACTCTCATAATTCATAGTCAAAGAAAATTAGGTAAAATACAGACATATGCCTGAAATTCTAACTGACTTGAATGTGACAGTAAAAACATACAGAAAAATAAATGTGTCTAAAGGGAGCCAAGTCTGGCCTTTCTCCCAAACATTTCTTGAATGCTTGCTTAGAACATTTCATCTAAAGTTTACTCTTCCTCTCCCTTAAGAGTTGGCCTAAAATGAGTTTTATATGCCCATTTGTAAGCGTTTTACTTCAGTTTAAATGCATGCTGTGATGTGGGAATTGTCTAGGTTTCTAGTTACATTCATTTAAATTGCGTATACGTAATACAACGACGGGTTCTTTTGGTTTGTTTGTTTATTCAGCCAATTTTGTTAATGGAAATTCGCTTGAAGAAAATAAATGAATTTCATTTTATTCATTGATTACATTACAAGTGAATTAGCTAAGTGTTTTAAGTAAAAGAAGAAATACATGTCACTCACACGCAGTAAATTAATATTGCAAAGGGTTATATGAAATTCAAGTTAATTAAGCTTTAATTATAATTGGAAAAGGTAATGAGGGGGAGTGGAAAAATCCCACAGGAATTACACGGTCACACATTTGCACCCTCGTGTCTGGGTTACCTTTACTTACCCCCAAGCTGGCCAAGCGAATTTCAATTACAGATATTCCATATTCACAGAGTCTGTTGCATGGTCCCAGGTGATGGACTACCATCAGTAAATAATGCACATGAAAAAGCGATGTACATGGCCCAAAGTGGAAGGGAGTGTGTGTGGAAAGAGTTGCAACAAATTGAGCCACAAAAAGCTCGGTCCATTCAATACAGGGCTCAACCAAACAGGAAACCATAAACTTGTGGCTTAAGCACACAATATTTTCTTACCCATCTAGCAACCAGGATCTGAGCAGGCCAGAGCAAACATAAAAACCAACTCAGTAA